GCTTGTAGGGTCTAAGAGATAAAATATGCCTGTTAAGAATCAATTACTAGTTTACAAAATTATGGTCTGATTAACGTTTAGATACCATGTCTATAGGATTCTGCCAGTTATCACTTAGGCAAGCCTTTAGGACAATTAATCCTGGGTTTAAAATTGCGATTTTCGGGCTGCTTGAAACGTGCTCAGATTCGGTAAGTGATAAAATCATTAGGCAAATTGATAACTACTCACTGCCTCGCCTAAATAAAACTACTTTATATTCTGATTGTACTCATTTAGAAATCCTTCCTATAGGACTCCTAATATTATAAAACTGCCTGTTTGAATGGCGTCACTTGTTTTGTCTATTTATGGAGGTAAATATGAGCACCCTTAATTGCATCTTTATGTGATAGTCCTATTTGAATTTTGTTTGTCGCTTAATTTTCTCCTTTTAAACAACATAGGTGAGTCTAGAACCACCTTAAATAGAGGTCCTTAACACCTCCAGGGCCACAAGTAAGGGACGGGTAGTGCACGCATATTCGATATTGTTAGAATGCTTAGGTAATAATTAAGGGGATGGTAATCGGGTAGTAAAGGATATGATGACCTGTGCGCTAATGTTATGTGTAGTACCCCAATTTGGGGACGATTACCAGGTATTGCACAGAAGTGATCCTATAGGCTAAAAAACCTAGGACCCCTTTACTCCTTGTTTTAAAGAAATATCTGTTTGTTTATCTGCTTATAAGATTAAAAACTAAAATATTTCAAACAACCAAATGGATTGCTAAAGCTTAAAATAACCAGTCGGACCGTTACAAAAAATTTGGCTGCACATCAGACTAAAATGTTTTAAGTGCATCTAAGTTTAATTTTGCACTTTAGACTAAATGTCTTAAGTACATGCAAAATATTAGTTGTAGCACATACTAAAATGTCTTAAGTGAAAAATTAAAGATGCCCTTAAGGCGTATGCGTTTGAAGTGAAACCAATATTTTGCATGTACTTAAGACGTTTTCATCTGAAGTCACAATAGGTGACGATGACTTCTCAATTTTAATTCAGATAAAATTTGTATCCTTATACAAAGATTGTGCCATTACAGTCACGTACATTTGAAGTTGTGCCCGAAGTGGGTAAAATTACAAAAAAAGTTGAACTTATAGTACAACTTAAATAATATCCTCAAAATCGGGTATTTGTGCACTTTTCCAATAAAATGATCTTGCATTTAGTAGGCTATCTCTAATGCTCAGTAAAAGTAACAGTCAGACAAATAATAGTAGCTATGCACCATTTTGGTGTGGTATGCACGTTTAACCTCTATATTCATCTTGTCCCTTATTTACCTAGGAGCACTGCATTTCAAAAGATTTTGTCAAATTGGGTCCTATTTCAATCCGTGTTTGACCGATCAATATATCAATAATCAAGTCTTCAGTCAATTGGTGGAATAAACTGCATCAACCTGAGAGTATTAGCCGATCTGGTACATCAATTGTAACGACCCGGCTGGTCATTTTAAGAATTTATGCCCCGATCTCCTATTAACTGCTTTTCCCGTGTTTGTTTCTGCTATTTTGGTTTGCCGGGATGATTTGTTTTGAGTTTTGGAGTGTTTTGGGACACTTTGTCCCTAAAAGAGAGCTTAACCTTTAGAAATTGGACCGTAGTCAGAGCAATGTGAAGACGGCCTCGGAATGAAATTCTGTTAGTTCCGTTAGCTTCGTTGGGTAATTTAAGACTTAGGTGCGTATTCGGATTGTGTTTTGGAGGTCCGTAGCTTATTTAGACTTGAAATGCCGAAAGTTGAATTTTTGAAGTTCTGGTTCGATAGTGAGATTTTGATATCGGGGTGGAATGGACTTCTGGAAGTTAGAGTAGCTCTATAGTGTTGAATGTGACGTGCTTGCAAAATTTAAGGTCATTCAGACGAGGTTTGATAGACTTTTTGATTGAAAGCATAATTTGAGAGTTTTTGGAGTTCTTAGGCTTGAATCCGATGTTAAATTGGTGTTTTGATGTTGTTTTGAGCGTTCCGAAGGTTGGAACAAGTTTGAATTATGTTTTAGGATTGGTTGACATGTTTGGTTGAGGTCTCGGGGGCCTCGGGTGTGTTTCGGATGCTCAACGGGTCAATTTTTGGACTAAGAGAATTTGCAAAAAATGCAGCAGGTCTCTAGTTCTGGTTTCCTTCTTCGCGTTTGCGAGTGAGGTCTCGCGTTCGCGAAGAGGAGCTGGGGCTAGTGGAAGCTTAACGCTTCGCAATGGCAATGATAATCCCGCGTTCGCGAAGCTGTGAGGTCTTATACCTACTTGTTCGCGAAGAAGATCTCGCGTTCTTGTAGGAGGGGAAAAATGGTCACCACATTCGCGCCAGGGACATCGTGATGAAGGAAATATGGGCCAAGCGAAGTTGTGCTTTACGAACGTGAGGATCCTTCCGCATTGTGAAGAAGGAATTACCTGGGCAGATTATAACATTTCAAAATCGAGGGTTTAGCCATTTTTATCAAAACAAGAGTTTGGGAGCTCGGATTTGAGCGAGATTTTGTGGGATTTTCAGAAATATCAATTGGGTAATGATTCCTAACTCGTTTTGGCTTATAACCTATTAATCTAAATTTGAATTCATCATCTAATTTCGGATTTGAGGTGAGAAATTTGGGGAAAATTTGGAAAAGTTCTTAGGCCTAATTTTCGAGTTTTGATTAGGAATTTGACATCGGATTTGGATAATTTTTATATGGTTAGACTCATGAGTGAATGGGGGTTCATAAGCCGTAACTTTTACCCAATTCCGAGACGTGGTCCCGGGGGACGTTTTGGGCAATTTTCTTAATTTCGCGTGTTAGCTTCGAATTAATTAGTAAAATTAGTTACTTGAAGTTATATTTATATTATGCAATTGATTTAATAGATTTGGGCCATTTGGAGTCGAGTACTCGTGCCAAGAGCGTGTTTTCGGGTGATTTTTGAGCCGCTTCGAGGTAAGTGGCTTGCCTAAGCTTGTGTGGGGGAACTCCCATTAATATTTGGTATTGTTGATATATGAAATGCCTTGTACGTGAGGTGACGAGTGCGTACATGTGCTAATTGTTGAAAATCTTATTTTTATTAAATAACTATAACTGTGTTTTCTTCCCTGTTTATACTACTTGCAATTTAAGCCTATTATTAGCTTAGGGAAGCATATCTAATTGACTTGATTGTTTTACTTGCTCAAACTGCTTTATTTGAATTTTGTGCAGCATGCTAGGTTAGAAATACCTGTTTTACCTTAGTATAAAATTTGGATTTAACCGAATATTCTTTGTGTTGTTGCTCTGTGTTTACTTTCGGACTACGGGACGGTATTTCGGGAGATCACCCCCTGCATGTTTACTTTGGGACTACGAATTTGTATTCCGGTAGATCCCCCTACACATTTATATTGGAACTATGGGACTGCACCCGGTAGATTCCCCTAGTACTGGGTATTTATATTTGGGACTACAAATCAGGATTTCGGTAGATCCCCACGCACTATTAGTTGGACTACGGGATGACACCCGGGAGATCCACTGGATATCTACATTTGGGGACAATAGGGCGGTATCCTGGGAGATCCCCGGTTGTTATCTCTGTGTTGAGCTGTATTGCTTCTATGATTATTTGTCTCTGTTGTAGTTGTTGCTACTCTTATTACCTTGTGTTACTTTACTACTGCTTCTTTTCCTTATATATTATTGTATATGACCGGTAGGGCCTTCACCTTCCTCGTCACTACTCGACCGAGGTTAGGCATGACACTTACTGAGTACCCCTGTGGTGTAGTCAAGCCCTTTTCCTGCACATATTTTTCGTGTGCAGATCCAGGTACTTTGACTCAGCCCTACTACCCTTGATGCGAGGCGATTCTCCAGAGACTTAGAGGTATATCTGCCGCGTCCGCATACCGAGGAGTCCCTTTCCATTCTCTCTTATAGCTTTAGCCATTATGTATTTATTTTGATTTAGACATTCTAGAGTTAGAGCACAATGTAGTATCCATAGCTTGTGATTTCATGAGATTCCGGGTTTTGGAAAGTTGTTCAGTTTGAGAGTTATATTTGTATATGCCGAGCGGAATTTTAGACCTTCATTATGTTTATTCCGCAATTTTTATTAGTTTTATCTATTGTTTTTTCTTTTTCCGCAATTGTTAGGCTTACCTAATCGTAGAGACTAGGTGTCGTCACGATACTTCATGGAGGGAGAACTGGGGTTGTGACATTAATACATTTTCCTATGCCCATTCCAATCTTGTCTCACTTTGCTAACTCCCCCTTCTCAACCCGTATCTTGTTCGTTATGGAAACACGCCCTCCGATTTTATCTTTTCTCGAATCTCCTTTAACATAAGTAATATAATCTCGAGAAGGAATGCCAAACTTATTTCACTCGCTAAGTCTTTTTTGCATCCATGGCTGGTTGGTTAAAGCATCAAAATCATAATTAGCAAATTCGTAGGTTCAATTCCTATTGGATGCACACTGATGGGACCCTCCATTAAGTTTATTAAAAGTGGCTATGTATGAATGTAATCTCATCATCCATACATAACGAATTGATGCAGTGTGTGTGTGTATATATATATATATATATATATATATATGTATATATACATATGTCATAAAAAACTAACATTCTTATTGAGACTTTAACCCATAGGGAAGAAAATCCGATTTATCGATGGAATCAAATATGCAGTATTTATAGGAAAAATATTTTTGTTATTAGAGAACATCACTATAAGAAAAAGGGTTATTAGGGACCATGATTTAGCAACTAGTTTAATATCTGGTCCCTAAAAGTGTACATACCGGGACGATATTATTTCCCGGTCCCTATATTGCATTTTTTTTTTCATCTAAATAATGAAGGGATTTAATCTAGTCTAAAAAAGACAAATACAGTCTCTAATAATTGCATTTTAGCGAGAGACGGAGGCGGGAATCAAATAAGTAAAACCTTTTCCCTTAGGCACTTCCCATATTCCCTCCCCCACCCCTCTCAACCCCTAAAATTCTAGAACGCCTCAAACCCTCCGCTCAATAGCTCTTCTTCCTTTCAGGCATTCTTCTGCTAAACACCCTTATTGTTAATCACTGAGAATTATTTGGCTACTTGAAGCGTAAGTTTCTTCAATTTCTCATTTATCTGATTCTTTTTTTATAATAAAAATCAGATTTTATTCCTCCGTATCTTTCTTTGTTCTTTCTTTCTTGTTGACCTAGTCTTTGATTGTGTTTCTTTCTTTGTTTCGAATACTCGTGGTTGTTATTTGAGAACTAGAAGTGAGGGTAATGGGTTTGAAGTTAGGGCTTGGAGGGCGCCGACGTTCTGTGAATGTGTTTTTTTTTTCTATTTAAAATTTAATTATTGTTGTGTGAGATCAAAAAGTAAAGTATTTAAGGATTAATTGTGAAATTTTGGCTAATAGAGTTGAATTAAATAAATCTTTTGGGAACTTGATTGAAAGGCTAAGGAAACATATGGTGTGAGTATATTGTGGGATTTTGTATGTTGTGGGTTTTGTTATGTGGTGATGAATTGGTTGAACTTTTTATATATTATGTGCTCTCATTTAGTTCCTACATTTCAGAATTTTATGGAGTTTTTGAATTATATAACCAACTTGTAGATTTTTGTAAATCCAACACAATATATAAGAAAAGTTTTATATGAGGAAGAAATGGCGATTTGAATTGTCTTTGTTAATGTATTCCTCAATCACACTTTAGATGAGGAATACAAGGTGATGTGAATTCAATATTGTTTTTGTACTCTGATAGGCCTAAGCATCTCAATAAAATTTCTGATGGCAGAATTTCAATTTCCTTTGACTGTTACTCTATTTATTCAATAAGCGCACTATGCTGATATAGCAGATGTCGGGATCAGACTTCTTTATCAGTTTTTAGTAGCCTAGATCTGACTAATAGACCGAAAGGTATTTCACAACCTTTTCCAGAAAAGAAAGATGAAAATATGTAGTCAAAACTAATGGCAACTTTAACTAATACACATAATAGCGATAATAATTTGATGTGTTATTTAGGACTTAATGATGGTAATGCGCATATGCTTTAGACTTCTACGGATTACTCTATTTTACTCTATATGCGGTGTTTGACGTGATATGACTTCAAGAAAGAAATAGCGACTTGTAAGCTAAATTTATAAGACGTACAAAAAAGTACCCTTAGCCTCTAATGGCCTTAGAATCTGCATACTATCGATAATAATTTGTTTGTATTCCGTTTCTATAGGATTTGATATGGTATCATCTATAGCATTTGATTTAGATTATAATGTTACAAAATGTCTTATATTATCTATTTTTGAAAAGTCATAATCTCTTTATACATTAGTATTTCGGGAGAATGTGCCTATTATATATAGTTTCTTATAAATTTATTTTTCTTTCTTGTTCAGAATAGTTTATGCTAACTAAAATAAGCAGAAAGAATTACAAGCTCTATGATACTTTATGTTGCCCAATTTAAGTTTGATACTTCAATGGAACTTGTAGAGCATAATCAGTATGTTTATACATGCAAATTGCATAAACCATCTCTAATGTAATCCATTATATGTAAAAGTTGATAATAAAATCTAATTTATTCAAACTAAACATTAAAGTTCCTTAAAACACATTCATCTTTTCCATTTATTTGAATTTTGTGTTGTTCGATCTTTAAAACTACTGTTGTAGAAAAATAATATAGCCAAAAAGAGTTATGTGCTCTTACTATAAGGTTGATAATTGCGGAAAAGCTGAAAATTTTCTGCTTTGCTAAATCTCCATCCGTCGTCTTTGTTTCTCTTTTTAACTGTGAACTCCGTTAAAATATCACACTGGTACATGTACCTGTACCATGGTTAGTCATAAAAATTATGGTGGAATGTGCATTACTATAATAGGAATATGTAAGACACATCATATATTTATTTCACTCAGCAATGGTATATTATTTGTTTTGACTATCAAGTAATAGTTTATCTCATCTTGTGATATCTTAGTGTTTACTCTAAAAATCGAGTAACAATTAAACTTGTAATGTCGTTAAGGATACTTGATTTCATATAATACCAATTGATTAATTTAGAGATAAGTGATGAAATTGAGAAGAATATGAAACAAACCGACGTTTGGATAGTAAGTTGATGACTAGAAGAAAGAAATATTATATTGCTTGAATTTTTATGAATGTGGGAGAGCCTAGAATTGATAGGGACCCCTCTTTATATATTAGAGGAATCCTAATTGAGGTACAATTCTAATTAAGGAAATAAATCCCATGATTGACACAAATAATCACCCCTAATTTAATCTGTTCCATGATTTACGTCGTGATTTCCGACTGGTCATGGATATTTCGCCCTGTTGTTATTGCATTCCGCTTGAAGCTGATCACATCTAGTCTCGATTGTCAGGGATCTCGATCTCGATGGGTACCTCGATCTCCAAACTCAGTACCTTGTCTTCGTGCTTAGGCCCGATCTATTATGAGGCTGACCCTCGATGGAGTTCTCCGATCATGAAATAATAGGAAAATCGGGCAAGCTCAATTTTACCCGTATACAAATAGTACCCTCTTTTCTTAGAGTAAAATGATAATAAATGATTTGATCCTCGATTTAATGGAGACCTTAATAATGATGTCATCCCTATGATGTAAGTGACTAAGGTTACCGAAATGTCTCGTCGGTAGAGTTCCCCAAACCATTAATGCTTGCCAGTGGACACTCGACCATTAGCACCACCAAACCGTCGCCGTAAATCTATAAATATAGGCTCTTTGGTTGAATCAAAATTTACTTTCACCTCTACCAATTTTTCTATGTTTTTTACTCTCTCTATCTCTTCTCTTTCACCACTCGTTGAGTCGACTTCGTTAGTACCAAGAATACCAAGTTTCACCTGTTTGCGCTTCCTTCTAACTGAATCAATGGCGAAAACTTCCAAAATCGTTCCACAAAAAGAAAAATCTTCTTCATCGCGGTCGGCCGGTGATATTACGCCGGTGGAGACACGCATCGAGGAGTGCATTTCGGTGACGTGCGATCTTACCTCTAATTTAAAGATTGAGAAACCCTCGTCTATCCATGGCCGATGTGCGCCGTGTCACGGTATATTTTCTCTATAATTGAGGGCGACCTGAAGCAGGTAAAAATGGATTGCCATTGGGAAGGCAAAGAGATGTTGATCCCGACCCCTGAAGAGAACATCACCACTCACGTGAAAGGGTTCTTGAGTGTTTACACTTACCCTTTTACATCGGGTCATGTTGACCCCGTTATTCTTAATTTCTGTAGCCAATACCAAATAACCTTGGGCCAGATTCACCCTTCCTTTTGGAGAATTGTTATTTTGCTCCGATTCTTTATGAGCCAAGTCAAGGGGATGCCTTTTACACTCGACCGCCTTATTAGAATGTACAACCCCTATCTCTATCAGGGAGGGTTGATAAGGCTTCAGCAGCAGGCCACCAAGGTGTTGTTCTCGAGTATAGATGAGGACAAGGGCCGAGGGTGGTTGGGCCGGTTTGTCCGAGTAAGGACTTCCGACAAAATTCTAGCTGAAAAGATGTCATTCCCTAAAGAGTGGAACATGAAGCGTAAGAAAGAATATGCCCTTAACCTTCATCTATCATTTTGTTTCTTTTTTCTTTTCATACTGACATCCTTTCCTGTGATACAGTGGTTGCTTGGGCGCCCGGTGCAATCTCAGACCTTGAAGGCTGGGTCTAGTCCTGACCTCTTCATATTCCGAGCGTTGTTGGTGTGTTTGGGCCAAGAGCCGATGGGAGGTCAATAACCATAGTAAGCTTCTCCATCGTGTTTGATGCCTTTCTATGAAATGTGTTTTTCTTATTTTCACTTGATTTCCTGTTATGCAGGTCTCAGGGATATTGCCGAAATGAGGCCAGCCCCGCTTGGGAAGGAGGTGGCCCCAAAACCACCTAAGGATAAGAAGAGGATAAGGGTCTCGCCTTCAGATACCCCAAATCCTAAGAAGAGAGAGACTTGTAAGTCGAAGAACGGTTCCGCCGCTCTGTCTACTAACGTACCTCAAAAGCTACGAAGAGGGTGAAGATACTGACTGTGAGCTAGTAGCTCGAAAGAAGGGAAGCATCTAGGGTTCAAAAGCAGGCGAGATAGTGATGGTCGAGGAGGCTCATCATCGGACCGAGGAGACCATAGAAGATGGTTCGAGCAAAGCCCCTGAGTCATCGGGGACCAAAGATGTCTGCTGCCGTGACGAACAATCGGCGAGTGTACCGGAAGGGTCTGATTCTGAGGCCCTTCAAATAGGATAGAGGGCTCCAAGTGACTTGCTTGTGGCAATAAATATTGATGATTCGCCGCACGACCCCACATTTTCTAAGGGGCAATTTCGGGAGGCTCGGTCTATGGAGACCCCTGATGTGGGAACGACCCACGAAGGGGAAGATATATTTCGTGGTTTACTTGTGGGGGTCGATGATGTTTCCAACCTATATGCAACGATCATTCTAATGAGGCTCAACGACTCCTAAACAAGGTAAATTTCATCCCCCATTATTACGTTTGCTCTTATTTCATTCTGTCTGATTTTTTTTCTTTCTCCATAGGTTGTGACACTTCATCGGAAAGCGTTCACCAAATCCTAAGTCGAGCTGAACCGGTGTGAGGCCGATCTCAAAAGGTTCACAGAGGAGAGAAAGGCCCTTAAACGCCTCTATGTGCAGCAAGAAGAGGAGATCAAGGACCTCCGAGCTGAATTGGCAACAACCCATAAGAAGCAGACCGATTTCATCGAACATGTATTGCAAATTTTCAGGAGCTTAACATACCAATTTGATATGGGTGACTAGCACTTTGATCCTGTAGGTTCAGTAAAAGGTCGAGAAAATTGAGCATCTTCCCGAGGAGGCGGAGATAAAAGAGGTAGAGACTTTGGGGTGGAAGCAGATCATAGACCGTCTTGCTTCGAAGAAATATACCGCTCGTGCCCAACTATCTTCGGTTGAGAATCAACTCCAAATCTTAAGGGAAGAGAGCTTGGCTCGAGCAAAGAAAATTGAAGAACTCGAGACGCGACATTTTGTTGAGCTTGCAAAGGCCACATCTTTAGAGGAAAAGGCAAAGGCCAATGTGGAGGCGGTCATGGCTATCTACTAAGCTGCCGCTGAAGTCGCTAACGCACGAGGGTACAAAATCTTTGATGCCGCTCGAGTTTGATTATCCTGCGCTGTCGAGCATGCTAACTTTCAGTCTCAGAGAGAGGCTCTCGAGCAGAAGATGATGATGAAGCTCCAGGGGAGGATTAGGCATTTAGAACTTCTCCTTTTTTTTGGATTTTTGTGTAAGACCCTTATCGGTCCTTTGTACATATTTTTGTCCATATATATAAAGAAATTTCTCTTTTGAATGCCTTCTCAAATTTTGTCTTCAATCATGTTTCTTGCATTGTAATATTTTACCACATTTTTATGCTTTAAACAATATGTTCGAGACTTTGGTTTTAAATGACTTGATCGAAGCCATAATGCTATTACATTTATAGTCGGGTTTGAGTGAAATCTGAATTTGGAGCAAATGGACCCTTAGGTTTGTTTTGAATGATAACGAACATCGATCTTTAGTCGAGTAGGTTCTTATTCAAATTCGAGAGAGCGGGACTCTTAGGTTCGAATCGAGTGAGAACGTGCTCTCGAACTCAAAAGTGTGTTGGCCTCTAGGCTCTTTGAATTGGGTCGATATGGCCTTAAAGGATGGCTATGTTTTCCCTATTTCAGCTTAAAGACTTAGTAAAATTTTCTTATGCCTTAGCATGTATTTTTTAAAACTATTGGTTTTTTTTTCTCGAGGGTTTAGTGTTGATCGAAACCCCTTTGTTTTTTGTTCCTTAGTACAAGCTTGTATTTGAATAATTCAATACCTCTTAAGGTTTTTCGGGGACTGATTTTATCGAAGCCCTTTGATTATTTTGCTAGGGTAGCCTTTTTTAACCGATTTTCAGAGAATTCGAAGGCCTATTTTTATTGCGAGATTCGGACATCTCCGAGCCGCATTAGTTTGGTCGTATCCTTTGGGTATGACTCTTGGTCTTACTTTTCTAATAACACTTCGAACTTTTTCGAAGTGTTAGTCCCCGAGAATGATGGCCTTGGCCTATAAATCGAGGGGTGCCTCTTGGAGATCTTTAGATAGTTCGAACATGTTGATTTTCGATGGAAGTCCCCGAGTACAGGGTTAATTGCTCGAGATTTAGTTGCGATTTGCTCTTAAGCCGATTTCTGTAAGTACGAAATTTCACTAAGGCATGGAACTTCTGATAAATACTTCTTTCAATATATCATTCATGCGTACATGTTTTGTCATTAGGGCTCGTGCAATCTACATGGGCACGGATCGTTCACTACAAAAAAAAACTGGAATTAGCTACAAATGTCGTCGCTAATCTGTCACTAAAATTCTCGTAGCTAGTAGATTTTTTTGATAATTCATCGCTAATTCTTTGCTAAATGAGATTAGCGGCATATTTTTCTGTTTAGCTACAGAATTTGTTCGTCGCTAAAAACAGATTTTTTTAGTAGTGGTTTGACCGTTTGACCCTTTACAAAATTTTCCTATCGAGACCTTGTTGATGCGAAGCATCTCATTTGAAAACATAACATCCAAGGGTGATTCCCCCCAGTATTCGAGGTTGATTGTAACGAAGCCACATATACTGTTGAATTGCTCTTAGGTGGCACATATTATTGTTTCCTCGTTAAAAACCTCGCCGGAACAACCTATTTGGGATAAAAACTGATTTAAGGGAAAAAGAGTGCAACACATGCATTAAAACCTAAGGTCTTCATGTTGAAGAGCTTCTCGATGTCTTCGATCGAACACCTGCAATAAATTAGCACCAAATAGAAATGAAAAGGGCGAAAGTCATACTTTAGAAATAATATCGTTTGAAGAGTGATATGTTCCAATGGTTTGGCAATTGTTTGCCGTCCATTGTTCCAAGTTTGTAAGATCCCTTTCCGATGACACTAAGGACTTGATTTGGCTCTTCCAACTTGGGTAGAGTTTCATCTCGCGTATTTTCGTCTAACAATTTTAGGATTGCACTCATAGCCTCGTGTTTTAATTCTTCCGTTGTGTATCGAAACCTGATGCTTTGTTCACTGACTTTGATCGGGATCATAGATTAGATGTCATATACTAAGAAGAATGGCGTTGCCCCCGCACTAGATTTTGTCGTTGTCCGATAAGCCCAAAAGACTTCGGGCAAAACTTCTCTCCATTTCCCCTTAGTGTCGCTCAACCTTTTCTTTAGGTTTTGAATGATAGTCTTGTTCGTTTATTCGGCCTGTCCGTTCGCACTAGGATGATACGATGTTGATAATATCCTTTTTATTTTGTGATCCTTGAGGAACTTTGTTACTTTGTTGCCGATAAATTATTTTCAATTGTCACACACTATATCGGCTGGTATCCCGAATCGGCGTACGATGTGATCCTAGATGAAGTCTATAACTTCCTTCTCTATGATTTTCTCAAAATCCTGTGCCTCAACCCACTTAGAGAACTAATCAATCATAAACAAAATGAACTTAGCTTTACCTAGGGACGATGGTAGAGGACGTACAATGTCCATCCCCCATTTCATGAATGGCCACGAGGATAGGACTGAATGGAGTTGCTCTCCGGGTTGGTGGATCATCGGCGCATGCCTTTGGCATTTGTCACATTTTCGAACGAACTCCTTAGTATCTTTTTCATACTGTCCCGATAATATCCTGCTCTAATGACTTTGTGAACCAGTGATTCGATGCCGGAATGGTTCCTGCAGATGGTTTCATGGACTTCTCGTAGAACATAATCGGTCCCCTGGTCCCAAAAATCTTGCCAATGGTCCGTCGAACGTCCTTCTGTATAATGTTCCATCTTCGTCCAACGTTAATCGAGTAGCTTTTGTTTGTAGGGCCCTCGATTCTTTAGGGTCCGATAAGAGCTTTCAGTTTTTCAAGTACTCAATATATTTATTCCTCTAATCCCAAGTTAAGTTTGTGGAGTTTATCTCAGCATGACATTCTTCAATCTCAGATCTCGAGAGTTGAATGATAGTCCCCGAGCTGATTTCGTCATTCTCGACTGATGACCCAAAATTTGCAAGACCATTGGCTTCGCTGTTCTGCTCGCAAGATACGTGCTGTAAGGTCCATTAATCAAAATGGTGCAAAGTCACCTGTAACTTGTCCAAATACCTTTCCATTCTATCCTCTCGAACCTCGAAGGTTTTGTTTACATGGTTTACTACCAGCAAAGAGTCGCATTTGGCTTCAATGACTTCCGCCCCCAAGCTTTTAGCTAGTTCGATACCTGCAATCATGGCCTCGTTCTCGGTGTCATTGTTAGTCAACTTACATGTTTTGATGGATTGTCTAATAGTGTTGCCCATGGGTGGCTCAATATGATGCCTAGACCCGTACCCATTCACATTCGAAGTGCCACCTGTGAAAAGGGTCCAAACCCCCAATGATGTACTTGATTTTAACAAGAGTTCCTTCTCGACTTCGGGTACGAGGGTCAGCGTGAAATCGGCCACGAAGTCTGCTAAAATTTGAAACTTGATGGTTGTTCGGAGTTGATATTCGATATCATACCCACTGAGTTTGACGGCCCATTTGGCCAATCGGCCCCATAGTTCGTGCTTATGAAAACCATTTCGAAGCGGGTAAATGGTTAATACACATATGGGGTGACATTGAAAATATGGTTTTAGCTTTCTAGAGGTGCTTATCAGTGCGAGTGCCAATTTCTCTAAGTGTGGATATCTAGTTTCTGCTTCTCCTATAGTTCGACTTACATAATAAACAAGGAATTACGTACCTTGCTCTTCTTGACCAGGACACCGCTTACCGTGATCTCCAAGACTGCCTAGTACAAGTACAATTTTTCATCTGCCTTTGGAGTATGAAGCAATGGTGGGCTCGAGAGGTATCTCTTCAATTCTTCTAATGCCTGTTGGCATTCCGGAGTCTAGGAGAAATCGTTCTTCTTTTTGAGTAGAGAGAAGAATCTATGACTCTGATCCGACGATCTTAATATGAATCGGCCTAAAGCAGCTATCCGCCCTGCCAGACTTTGCACTGATTTAATGGTATCCACGGTGGTGATGTCTTCGATAGCTTTGATTTTATCGGGATTGATCTCGATTCCCCGAGTTGACTCCATGAATCCAAGGAACTTGCCTGAACCGACTCCGTAAGCGCATTTTTTGTGGTTGAGCTTCATGTTGTATTTTCTCAGGATTTCGAATGTTCCCTGCAAATGCGTCGGATCTTGTAGGATTCCCAAGAAATTCTTCGATTTCTTCCGGAAACAGATGATTAATCATCTGCTTCTCACGTTCCGTGAATAGCCGCCTTTCGTGATTCAAGTAGTAAGCTCGGATTCATGATTGAGAAAGAAATCTTCCAAGCGCAGCTTTAGCTGAATCTATCGGTTTTTAATCTCATTATGACTTGGTCGTTCGGAAGAGCAATTAATTCGATCAGAATAGGGGCAAGCTCTTTCCCAAGTCGCTGAGCTGTTTAACAGAGGGAAGGTCAAAGAGCTGTGGGGCTAGGAGTGTTCTCAATGCGCGCAGGGATTTAACTAGCATGTCATCAATATATACTTCCATTGTCTTACCTATCTGTTCCTCGAACATTTTATTTACTAGGCGTTGGTAGGTAGCTCTTACATTTTTGTCATGACCCAAAATCCACCAATTGTGATGGAACCTAACCCAAACCACTAGGTAAGCCAATTAAAAATTATCTAGTTTCATTTAACTTAATAAAACAATTAAATTAGAGAATTATCTAAATCTTACACATTTCCCAAGAACTGGTAGTACAAATAATCAACTTCTATGAATGAAGTTTACAAAACAACATTGGAACAATTACACAGTTTGTTTGAAAAGTACATAAACAGAATTTTATAGTCTAAGGCTACCGTGAACAAGAGGCAGCTACAGTAGGAACGCGAGTACGACTTCAAATCCAGCAACCATCGAACGTAGCAACATCGGTATCCGGGATCTGCACACACTGAGTAGGAAGTGCAGTATGAGTAGAACCGACCCCATGTACTCAAAAAGTAACAAACCTAACCTCAGGTTGAAAGCAGTGATGAGCTAATACAGGATCGAGTCCAAAGCCAATATTTCCACAACAGTTCATAACAACATAAATGCAAGTATAAAATAGATATCTCAAAAGTAAAATACTCAGCTCGTTCACAGTTCTAGAAAATGGTCATGCTTTTCAAATATCTCAGTGAAAGAAAATCCTAGATCTCTTACCGAAAATGCCAAAAGTACGAGTAAGTTTGAAAAATGTAATTTTCCAAATATCCTTTCCATAATAAATAAAATATTTCATTTTCTTTCCAAATACCAAGTATAAAGTGCCTCTCCATACCCACATATCAATGTATATAATAAGTCATGAATGACGTTGTACTATATAGCATGAGGAATAATGCATCTATATACTTGTATGTCATGTATGCATGTGAATGCCATGTATCTCAGAGATGAAACATGTGCTCACACTCTCAGAGTACTCAATCTCATTACCTTGCATCCTCTCTTACTAAGCTCAATACTTAGCACACTAAATCACTCAGCGCTGTATAATAACTGCTGCGGCGTGCAGTCCGATCCATATATATATATATATATAGTCGACTGCGCTTACTGGGGGATGTATAGACTCCGGAGGGGCTCCTACAACCTAAGTGCTATATTGTTGCAGCGTGCAACCCGATCCAATTGTAAGGCCCTGTGAAATTTCTACTCAAAAACTCGAAATCTCGTAGTGCCAAGTTAAGAATATGTGTTAGAAATTTTTAAAAATTTTAAGCTCGCTGTGGTTTGGACCTTTTGGACTGATATGTGCATTAAAA